GCATTTCAAAGACTTTTTAATCGAAAATTTATTACAAATGGAGATCGACAATATGCAGAAGCCATGCATATAAATAGTGATAAATGAATTGGAAAAAATATTATTGTTTTAATGGACCACTAAAGAAATCAATGACGATAATTCATGACGATTTGGGTAAATATTTAAATAACATAGAATATTATATCGAATACAATCTCGGTCAGTAATTTCAATGACGACTGGCACATAATAAGATTAGTGATTAAAGAATTTGATAAATTTCTCGAAAAATCTTAATATCTGTAATTAGGATATATGACAATTTTTAAATTGAAAAATCAACATTTCGTTGTACAATTTATTACTGATGAAACTCGAATTTTTCAAACTAAGATTCATATGTCTGTATAATAGCATACGAGAAGTATATTAGAGCTGTATATTACAAACGTGTTCTGCAAAATTAATTAGCTGTAGTTATGATAACGCCTCTATCTATAAATCTTCAGAGTCTGATAGTTCACAGCAAGACGACGACCATGTACCCTGACACCAAAACTACTTAGACTAATAGTTTAAGTATAATTTACTTACAAGAATAACAACTTGCAAGTGTTAAAATATTCCCTACTACACGACATTTATTCTACATACGCTCGATCGATATATGTGAGAAACAATCGAAAATGTTTTTCTATACAATGTTTGTAAGAAAGGCTTGTAAGGAAATATAAATACAACTTTTTATAATTAAAAAATTTATGATATAATTATCTGATAACTAATACATCTTATTAACAATAATTAATTATGCATAACTTGAGAAAAAGTTTAATTTACAATTTCATATTTAATTCATAAAACATAGCAGCTATAAACTGTACACACACGCGCGCGCGCGCGCGCACATATATAAATATATAATTTCATATTTCTGTTAATTGGTATAATTTTTTAATCATTATCTTTAACAATTTTACAAAATTACTTCGAATTTTTTTAGTTATTTCATTTATCATTATTATATTTAATTATTATATTTTATTATATCAAGAATGCGAAAACTAGTTTATTCGAGTTTAGAATTTGTGCACTTTTAAATGGAAATTTTAATTTAAATTCAACAAGTTAAGCATTAAAAATAATTAAATAAATTAATAAATAAATAAATAAATAAGAAACTTTAAAAAGCTGATAAGTTAAACACCAACACCGAACAACGTGTTCATTTTATTGATTTATATTCAAGATTTAGATGCGATTTACTACGTTTTCCAATGTAATGACGTGTAATTGTTACCGTTAGCAACCGTAAAGGACAACTGGAAAGGAAACTTTTGACTTATAAATCATTCCCCAGCGTCCTTGATACAGTCTCTTATAATGTCCATAACATCAATATATTATAAATTATCCTAATGTTATATTCAGAATATTCTACATAGATTATTAATTGTATAGAATGAAAGCAATTCAATAAGTATTCTGTAAGAATAATTCATAGATAAAAATGTTTATGAATGTAAATTATATTATTTAAAAAGTAATTAATCGTCTATTTTAGATTCTAGAACTTATCCACGTCCGTATCTATATCCAAAGAAAATCCATATCCGAAAGAAGAAAGATAGCTTTATTGTTCATATACATATTGTGGATTCAATATACAATGAGCAAAAATTACCACCAACTACGATCCAATCGAATGTGTAATAATTACTAACATATTCTCTCTAATACCTTATAATTTTTCTTTAATACGATGTTAAATCGCAAATTATTTGAAATCCATTTCAAGAGTGAAATCCATTTTACTATTTCCACTCTACAATTATTATGACCTTTGTACATATATAGCATACTATAATCAAATAATTTAATCAAATATTATAAAGTCACTATTAAGAAAATTGCTGTGAAAACAACATTCCTAATTTTCCCAAGTATTTATTCTGTAATTGCAATCTTAAAAATTTCTTAAAAAGTATTACATGCGTATAAGAATATTTGAAAAAAATACAAAAAAAATCTAGTACATACCAATATTAAGATTATATACTATAATCTCACTCTTCTTTTTTTTTTTTTTTATATTAATTCAAACGTAGAAAAATATTTATTCCATAATTTCATTTTCAATGTATTGATTATTAACACACGAAACTTCGAGTTTAGCTATAAAACTCAGAAAATTAATTTTTGCCGTTAATTTTTAATCTTTTACATTATACGTCTCTCGTGCATGTGTAATACATTTTATAGATCAGATGGAAAAATTATAAAATTAATTTTATAACATCATATACGTTTTTTTTTTTTTTTTTTTTTTTTTTTTTTTTTTTTTTTTTTTTTTATATGAAGAATAATATTAAACTTCGCATACCACTATTCACCCTACATTATAGAAGAAATAATTCTAAACTAATTATATGCATAAAAATAACTAGCTTTTTAGATCTTTAATATTATAAATCACTGTTGATGAGATATTCTAATAAATCTTACGGATTTTTTAATAAGTTTTAATTTTCAATACCATTTGCATTGCTAATTATTTAATAAGAAGCTTTTTTAAAAGCGAATTTACAATGACAAACGCCCATCGAAGCGTTGTTTTTATATTTTCTAACGCTTATTTTCAAAGCTCATGAAAGTATTAATTATATATATTCGATCGTAAGAACAAAGCTAATTGAGCGTAAACTAATGATCTGAGACTTTTATATCCGATCGTAAAGTTGCTGTACTATTTGGATTTTCGTATCGTAAATCCTAATAAATTAATTGATGAAAATTTAAGTAGGCGTTGAAATTCTTTTCCGATTAGTTATTTGAACTTTTCTTTAGACGGGCCAAAAAACTTAATAGCAGCAGCCTATATAAAATATAATACTGATTTATGTAACATTGCACTGGTGTAAAACCAGAAATTCTAAAACCAGAAATTCCCTCAACACAAGTAATATGTGTGAATTTTAACTTTTAAATTTGTAATTTTACGTACAATTACCCCGGGGACAATTTAATAGTTTGGAATTGCAAATAAATCGTTTCGCTTGGTAATACAAGAATACAAAAACAGAGCTCCTCTATGCGTTGTGATAAAAAAATCGCGCGGGTCGAGGGTTGGGGGAGTGGAGGAGTGGGGTGGGGGGAGGGGGAGGGGGAGGTTGATAGTTATTTTTACCCACCTAGGTACACACATCGAGCAAAACGCTCGTTAACGTACACGCGACCTGCACACTACTTCTATCGCTCGCCTATAATAATTTATTTCTTATTTCTTATTTCTTATTTCATATGGCGTTAGAAGCTTTCACTTTCACGCACCCCCCTCCCTTCATCCCGCCCCTCGCCATTACCCTTGCCGATAGTCGTGGCGCAGTGACGTGCAATTCGAGTTGTGGTTGGCCTCGTATAGGCTTACACGTAATGTACTTGTCGCAGGTGTTTTCGCAACGTATTGTTCGATACGCAAAGTTAAGCGATTTCTATACTAACGAGGAGCATCTCATATATACGATGAACGCTCACTTTCTAAGTGGGTGTGAATCTATGATCGCTCGATCCGTTGGTTTTATTCTTCCAATCGCGCAATACCCTAAGTGGGCCATTGCTTTAGAGAGGATGAACCGTGAACGAATGAACCTTTAGGTTCAAGAGAATGGCACGATTGCGCGGCACATCTCTCGCATGGATTATCGAATGCAACACGTTCGTTGGATTACGCGATTATTTGCCTCATTAGGAACAACTTGTCGTTTACAGATATAAATTGTGACGTTTGAAATTTCTTGGCGGCCACCTATAAGCTTTTAAATGGAAATTCGCTCCGACTTTAGTTGAAAAGTTTTAATAAACCCGTTGGTATTAGGTCTACTTTATAGTGATAAGAAGTATACCTACTTATAATAACTCTTATCTCAACGAATTTATTTCGGCTAAATCACTTCTCTAATATTATAGACGATTTTTTTTTTATTTTATTTCCAATCACTTTCTAAGGAAATGCATTCGTAGTTTCAATCGTTACATGCAATATAAATGAACTGTCATTTGAAAGGATATTTCCTCATTTCAGGCAGTTAGTAAGAACTTTTATTATTAAGTAAAATGAATAAATTAATGATGATCGTTAGAGCTGCTTAACTCAATGTATGATGCTTCTCAACCTTTGCCGTAATCTTTTTAATCAATTACATTGCATCGTCTATATCCAACTTAATAACTTTACATTAAATGAAGCTTTCTTTATAATTGATTCACTTGTTATTGATTTAACAATTGAGGAAAATTTTTTATCTACATTTTCAGTACATTCAAAATTACTAAAATGAGCGTGCATTATATACAAATTCTATAAAATGGTCAGCAAAAGTGAATCGATCTGGCGATAATTGTATTTAAAGTATAAATTAATAGTATAAATATTATTGTAAAAAAAAAAAGCATAAAGAAACAAGACAGCATATTAAAATATTCAAATAAATTTCTCGATTAAATATAATTGCAAAAAAATATCATGACAGTTGGAATTAATTTTAGTAATGCGTAAGTTGGCCAATAGTTAAACATTATAGTATATTGTTCAGCCAACTGAAACTGCGATAGACGACATAATATTTCACATTCATCATTGTAAATTCAAAAAGCCTTTGACAATAAAATTTTAATAACGAGGGATAGGTTATTTATATAAAAATCATACACCACCTGCGAAATCATCGCGTAGTTAATAATAAGTGTTATTAATCAGTTACATTAAATGCTTAATATAAATTTCTTTAATGAACTCATTGCACGTGTGTACGTAAAATGTAACAAAATAAAAGACTTGTAATAAAGCAAACGTTAACAATGGCGATGACTTCGACAGTCGGTTTTGTGACGATGCTAATCGTAACAAATTCATTTCTTTATTTATCACGTCAATAAATACACGTTTAAGTGCAATACACTAAATTATTCGCTTAAAATTTTTTATTTTAATTTTTTTTTTTTAAATTTTTTTGTTTTTGTTTTTGTTTACTTTTCTTTCTTCGTCGATCAGTTTTCACTTGACACTCCTCGGCTGAAAAGAACAATGCTGTAGAAGATACTAATTTAATCAAATTTTTCCTCACATTACGTATCAAATCTTTTCGTTATTATGTTATATTATAGCTGTCTGTATATCAAATTAAGTTAAGTTGTTACATATCACGTTACAAAAAAAAAAAAAAAAAAAAAAATTAATAAAAAAATTAACCAAAAAAAAAAAAAAAATTAATAAATAAATAAATAAAAACAGACAAATCATCATACCTCTGTCTTCCAGCATTACAAACGTTCATCACTTCAATTCAATATAAATATATTCAGCGCTATAATGTAGCTTTTACAGATCATTACTTGGCATATAATAATATTGTTTCTCGGTCCAGCCACGCGTCTCCGCGGACCACGAGGCTATAGCTGGATTTGTTTTGATTTATTTTTTTTTTTTTTCACAAATACACTAGTAAATAATAAATACACTGCGCCCTTCTTCAATCACGACTCAAATTAAAATTACATTGTATTGTTAAACAGACATTAGTTGTATTTAAGTATGGATTATTCTTTGAATTCTGCTGAATATAGATATAGATATATATATATATATATATATATATACGCGCGCGCGTGCATGTCTGTGTGTGCGTGCGTGTATGTGTTTAAAAATACAGGTGATTTAGGAGGAATGCAAAAATGTATTAAACTATTCGATTAAGGACATGTAATTTTTCGATATAAAGGCTAATAGTATAAAAGGTTTAACGACTCCATAAATAATTTTAGTCGTTTTGAAATTTTCAATCAAATAATTTCCGATCGATAAGACCTAATAATTGTTGCAAAAATATAAAATTATGAAATCACGCTTTGTAAAGCAAAAGTTTATATCTATCAGTAACATACACAGACGTAAAAACAAAAAAAAAAATCAAAAAAAGTAAACAAGTAATTATCTATCTATCTATCTATCTATCTATCTATCTATCTACCTATCTGTCTATCTATCAACCAATCTCTGTCTTGTGTACGCGAGTGTTTGTGCAAATCATAAGAATCTTCTAGCAAATACATGTATAAATAATTAGATCGATATCTTTTCTTTTTTTCTTTTTTTTTTTTTTGTTTCAAGAAAATGTACCCCTCAACAAGCAATTAGTCCACATGAATAAGCAATAAAATATTAGAGCATAAACGCTATTTATTTGCTCATGTGAGACTGATTGCTGGATATAAGTGCCGTTATTATAATAAAAATGTACAATGACAATTAACATTTTGTTTTGTTTTAACGTATAATATCAATTTGAGAAGTCTCTTAAAAACAAAGAAAAGGCTAGATAGAGATTAAAGAGCTAGAGCAGTCGATCGTTATACAATTGTACAATAGCCTCGCGACCCTAGACGGTAGGACCAAACAATCGCCTGCCTGGTACGGCAAGGGACCGATAAGGTCCAACAGCGATTAGAGCTGTGATTGGTTGAAACAATATGTGGCGCTCGTTGCTCGCCGCTCGGCGGACTCGAAGTACACATCTTTGACTTGGCGCATGAACTTATTCGAGAATGAAATGTAAGGGAATAGAGGCAATAATAATCGCCAAGAATGCGGGCGATAGCGTTGGTGAATTTACATCGGTCGTGTGCTAACATTAACGAAAAAATGCGCGTCCACCTTGCGATGTCCAAGTAACGGCGAACAACGTGGCCCAGGATTTTCGACTCCAACTTTTATACCACAAAACTGTATTCGGACAAAAATAGCCGAGATAATCATATATATAAGACACTCAATATAAGTAACAGAACTTCTACGTGTCCAAAATTAATACAATTCTCACCGACGCTCGCCCAATTCGATAGCCTCATAAAATTATGAACAATGAGCATTCGAAACTTACATCATAATTTACTATTAGTAATAAACGTGGCTTAAAATATAAAACAAAAACAAAAAAAAAACAAAAAAAAACAAAAAAAAAACAAAAAAAAAAGGCTTAACGACAGAGTACGAGCGTCGTACGAAAATTTTTATAATTTATTGTTATAATAAACAATGCGTAGATATTTATATACGTACAGATGTAGTTATACGGCGCGGTTCGCTGTTTTGCTTTCGAAGTGTCGATTGAGAACATGAACTATTTTTTATTATTCTTCTATATTTTTTTTTTATCATTAAGAAACAGAAAGTTGCGGTTAAAGAAAAGTGACGCCAAAGCGAAGCTTGATTGACAGGGTGTGTACGAGAAAGAGAGAAATAGAGAAGAAGTAAGGGTGTAAGAGGAAGAAAAAGATATACATAGTATTAGTTGTGAAGAGGGATGGGGGGAGAGAAGAAGAGCGAATGAAATGAGAAAGAGAGAGAGAGAGAGAGAGGACAAAAAAAGAACAAAAATTTCAAGCGAACTATGGAAATAAGTAAATAAGACCTCGCTACTAATATTATTAATATTATCAATAACTTTTAGAACACGTATTCACAACTCATATGTTGCACTAAATAAATTTCCTGATACCTGTATAATTTATTGTCAATTCGTGTAATTATTTATATTTAAGATTTATTTCCTTATACAACAAAACAATGTAATACTGTATTTTAATAATACAATATGTAGTAAATTAATGTAATATAAACAAAATTATCTTTTAAATTTATATAATAGACTTTAAAAATTATAAAAATATGTTTTTCAAAAACAAACAAAAAAATCATTAACGCAATCTCAAAATTCATCTAAATTCGCATGTTTCCCCTAAATTTTCCATTAAATAAAACCATTGCAAGTTATACTTAAAAATTTAATATATTGCAAAAACCAATAGTAAATTTAAAGACCGCAAACCAGGCTCACAAATCTAATAATCTATGTTTTCAAATTCAAAAGAAATTGTTGTGTATTTATCAACAAAGATAAAAGTTGCGACTGGAGTTAGTGCAATTGAAGCTTGGCTGATAGCCAGAAAAGAGAGAAAGAGGAATAGGAGAGAGAGAGAGAGAGAGAGAGAGAGAGAGAGATATATATATATAGATAGATAGATAGATAGATAGATAGAGAGAGATAGATAGATAGATAGATATAGATAGATAGATGATAGATAGATAGATAGAGAGAGAGAGAGAGAGAGAGAGAGAGAGAGAGAACGAGTGAGTGAGAAACAAAAGGGAAAGCTGATTGAAGTAGCGTGAGTCGACTGTCAAGAACCGTTATTTGTTAAAAACTATGTTTTAATCTCATTTAACGGACTTTATTAAATTTTACACTATATCTGAGAATATCCTCTCTGTACTTACCACTCTCTCATGCGTCGCCCAACAATTGTTCCTTGCAAGGAAAAAGGCTTTTCTTTCTGGCACCGAGAAAGTCCATCGATATCGTCTGCGAGGTACTTCTCTTTATATTTCGTTTCATTATCTTTACAAACAGCAGTCATAAGAATTGAGCATTGATTTTATTAACTAAATGTCTTCAAATTAATTTGTAAATTGACGGTTTTATTTAATTCTTTTGCGTAATTATAATGCTTCAAAATTGCAAAATATTTCGAACTTTTCATACGCACTTTTTCGCTATTACTTTACTTTAAATAATAAGCAAAGCTATAATAAAAGAATTTACAGTGTATAAATATGTTTACAAAGTGCTGGAGAATTGCAACTCTATAATGTAGGAACGGATGGGACTTTCTATTTGTACTTATATAAACTGTTGCTCAATCACAGTTTAAATACACATTCCTAATTCCACATTAAATTTCTTTTAAACATTCTCATTAATATTAGTACAGTAATTTAATACTACGGAAAAAGAAATAAAATATCAAATGCTAACAAAACGCACTTGAGAATATGAAAATAAAAAAAGATCACGCAATTATTTTCCCTCTACACTGTGCACAATTGTGCAATAAAAAACTCACATTATTAATATTTTCAAGAAATTCATCAATTATCGAATGTACAGTTGTTAATCAGTTAATATGCATAAATATGTACAAATGATCGTAACAATGGTAATTGTACCTAAGAGAGAGAGAGAGAGAGAGAGAGAGAGAGGTGAGAGAAAGAGATATAGATAGATAGATAGATAGATAGATAGAGAGAGAGAGATAGAGAGAGAGAGAGAGAGAGAGAGAGAGAGAGATAAGAG